CATGATCTGGGATGCAATTTCTATAGGAGCACGAACCGATCTTGAGTTCATTCGTAGGGACGACCGTGTTCACGGAAGAAGAGGTTTAACGGCTGCCTGATATATCGAGGAGATTTTAGCAATTCATGTGGTACCTTACGTCGACTACACTGGAGACGAATTTATCTTTATGCATGACAATGCAAGGACACACACCGCAAGAATCGTGCAAGATTACATTGCAGAAGTCGGTTTTCAGGTTATAAACTGGCCAGCAAACAGTCCTGACCTAAATCCGATCGAACATTTATGGGATGAGCTAAAACGAAGAATTCGAGCTAGACTTCATACCCCAGACTCGATCCCAGAGCTTATTCTTGCAGCAGAAGAAGAGTGGCTTAACATCCCACAAGCAACAATAGCAAACTTGATAAGATCTATGCTTAATCGTATGAGAGATGTTATTAGGGCCAGAAGTGGTGATACCCATTATTAAAAAATTAAGTGTTAAGTTTTAAATTGTCAATAACCCTATTTATGTTAATAATAAAAAAGCTTAATTTGCTTAATGAATTCATTTCACTATGTAAAACATAGGAAGCCGACATAAGTTTTCATAAATTTATACTCACATCAAAGCATATTAAATTGTCTTTCAAACAGTATATTTGTTTTTGTGATCTGATGAATATTTCTTGAAAAAAATATAGTTAAAGTCAAAAGTGTACAGTGGGCCGATTTCTATGCACGCAAGTTTATATATACAATTATTCATCAATTTATTTTAAATATTCTAAGTAGTACCTATGTTTTTTCAAAATTATTAAGTAAAAGTAGGAAACTGTGGTGTTATTTATTTAGGTAACTGTTTATTTAAGTTTTATCGTGTACAATGGATTTCCAAATATATATGGGTATCATTCTTTTTTTGATTTTTGTGGACCGGAACCCATGGCGTTCAGTGAGAGAGTTAATTCGTCCCACAATTTATCAATTCTATTATTATTGTTTGCTTCTGGAGGTTTGGTTTTACCGTGAAATAATATTTTACTTCAGACGTAAAGCCTTCTTATATAAGTAATTTAATCTTATATAAGTAATTTAACTGCTCAGCAGATGTTGTTTTGTTTGGTGTTTCGCTTGCCATTTTGTATTCTTTCTTATGTTGAATTTTTTTCTAACTTAACCAAAACAAACCAAAATTACTTGACAATAAGCTTGAAATTTAAAATATAATTAAATACCTCTTCTTTTTTTATGAATTCTTAGCGCCGCACTAGCCTTTCCAGTAACTTAACGTCTCAGAACACTTATTTCACTTTTCAGTGCAAAGTTGCCACCAGCGTCAAATAGAAGTTGGCGTTTTCGATTTACACGATTATAATGTGAGTCACGGAATGCCAATACAAACACGAAAACGACGCGATAGATATTCAACATTCCGATTTCTGGTAATTATGATTCGGGTTGGTCATTTCTATTAGATTTGTTAAAAGTTACAGAATAATCAGATTATTACATACATACAAGGTGGTCCAGAATTATGTACATTAATTTCTAGAGCTAATAGTACGTCCAAAAATAAGGGTACTTCTTTATGTACACTTTTTTATAAAACTGAATAATAAGGGAGATACAACCCTTTAAAGGGGTGAATTGAAATTCTTATTTTTTCAAATATCTTCCAAACGGTTTTGAATACGGAGTTCATATTTTGGGGGTGATTATAAGACATTAGGATAATTAATTTCATGTCACCACCTACCACATCCTATATTAATACAGGGTAGTTTTGGAGGGTAAGTGAGGGTTATTGCGTCACATGTTTTTTAATTTTTACATATTTTAAAAATTGTTTCCTTAGACTCTTGTACGCAAAAAATGTGCTCTTGTAATATTTCGATAGATATCACCGTTTTCGATTTATTTAAACCCGAAGGTATACACGTATTTTATTGTAATCGTTACATTTCTTAATATTCATCAAGTATGCTTTGGAATTGACACTTGTGTTAGCAACAACACTTTAATCTCAAGTAGTCTGTGAATTGTTAATGACGTTTAATAACAATTAAATTATTTTATCTACACTTTTATTGTACTCGACAGTGAAATTTGTTTAACACGTCTCTTTTGCTTTATTTTTAAGTACCCTTATTTTTGGACGTACTATGAGCTCTAGAAATTAATGTACATAATTCTGGACCACCTTGTATAAAGAAAAAGAAAAGGTTAATGCAGGTGAATAGTAAAACTATTTATAATTAAATATATTCATAATATAAATTATATTATTAGATATATTTATTTTGCCTAAGAGACAGAAAAACCTTCTTGGTTCAATAGGAATACGTTTGTTGGGTTTGCTTTTTTCTCTCCGGTTTGATTACAGGAAGAATAGTATTCAGTTCCACTTCAAAAGTGAAGTAAAAAGCCTTGAACTTGTTGTTAGTTTTTTAAGGCATCACTCTTCACTGAACTATTTGGTCCCTCATAAAAAATTGGTGTTTAGTGTGATTAGAGTTGTGACAAACCATTGTGCAACTAATACATGTTAATCATATACAACAAAAATTTATGTAAGCCAATATTCTGACTTGAACGATGAATATAAAATTCCTAATTGTATGTCAAAAATGAGCAAATGCCACTTAAAACCCACCAAATTTCATTTGCATATCTCAACCAGTTTCAGGGCAATAAATCAATCGTTAGTGTGTAAGAAAAATTTCAATACCCCGTATCAAGGAACCATTTGTGGGCATATATTTATATATAAAACTGCCATTCTTTTTCATGCAGAACCACTCCCTGAAGCTAGTTGCACGCATTTATTAAAATTGATTTCTGAGTCTTGGGGCTATGGTAACTTATCAGCATGACCAAAACTACCTCTCTGGAAAATTCCAGCAAATTTGAAACCACTTTTACCTAAGAACAGTGCTGGAGTCCTTTGTATTTTATAATTTTTGAAACTTTATTCCAGTCATATCATAATACATACGATTATTATGATCTTTGCCAAAATGGATCGCATTACCACTACAACTTTTCCCAAAAATTAGATAGATCAAAGATTTATGACTTGATGTATAAATTGTTTGATTGTTGTACAATAATAACGAATTTCCTCTTCTTCCTTCTTGTATGTAGGCTTTAAAGCCTGTTTCTTTTTCAATATTAGCCTCCTAAATCGTTTAAATTGTCGCACCATGTTTTTCTTGCCTGCCAATACTTCTTCATCCATTTGGTGACTTATCTCGTGCTATTCGTACTATTCTATCCTCTGTCATTCTACTGATGTGTTCGTTTCACTAATGTTTTCGTTTTGTCACTCATCCATTTATGTCGTCTATATTGCATGCTCTTCTTTTAAGTTTTCGCTTCTCTCTCTATCCAACAGACTTTTCCCCTGATATTCGTCAGAGTATTTTCATCTCTGTTGTTTCTAGTAGTCGTATCGTTTTAGATGTATCAGATCTTATCTCCGCGTGTATGTTAATATAGGTCTAACTGCTGCTTTATAGATTATTGGTTTTGTGCCTTGTCTTAGGTGTTTGTTCTCCAGATTGTGTCATTAAGAGACCCCGCCGCTTTAGTTGCTTTTAAGCTTTGTTGTCGTACTTCTTCGTCAACATCTCCGTAACTAGTTATATCTATTCCCAGATATCTAAACCTTGCTTCCTGCTTTATTATTTTCCCATCAATTTCCATTTTACACCGTAGTGGGTATTTAGACGTTGTCATACATTTGGTTTTTTCTGCTGATATTATCATATGGTATTTCTTAGCTGTTGGAGCTCGTCTTCTGTCTCGACGATTAATGCGGCGTCGTCTGCATAACATAATATTTGGATTTCATTGTTCCCCATTCTGTATCCATGACCTTTTCGTACTGCTTGTATTAATTCGTCCATTATTATATTAAAGAGAAGTGGGCTTAACGAGTCACCCTGTCTGACTCGCTTTGTATTGGTATAAACTCTGTTAGTTTTCCATCAATTTATGGCTATATCTACTTCCTGAAAACTGATTTTTATTTCGTGTCTTAATTCAGGTACGTTATTCTGTTGATTATTATTTTCTTTTTCTTTAAACAGTTCCGTCAGGTATCTTTCCCATTCGTTTGCTGTAATGTTATTGTATTCCTTTAATTCTGCCATTTCTTTCCGTTGGTTTTTTACGAATTTGTATATTTGTTTTAGTGTATCGCTTTCCATCCTTTTTGTAAACTGTTCCCAGTGTTCATTTTTTGTTCTTCTTACCAACTGCTTTGTTTCATTTCGTAATTTAACAATAATGAATAATAACGAATTTAATATCAAAAAAGGCATTGAGATACACACAAGGTACAGAAAATGAGTTGTATGGTCCTGGGCCATTGTTCAAACTTCTGCCTAAAAGCAACCGAGGCTTTACGACTATTAGTGATTCACATATATAACAACCACCTGGTTTGATAAGTGCAAAGGACAGAATAAAAATAAACTGATATATGTAATTTATTTACTATCCTCTCAGCTAATTCTGACTTAAAATAGACACCAGATTCATAGTTCAACACAAAATATGTCTAAGTGCAATTGGATTAGAACTATAAAAAACCTCTCGCAAAGGCTTCAAAACAAGAACTTGAAACGTGGAGTTTTGAACTATAAACACAAAAATAAGATGAATTTTATCCAAGAAAATAAATTAAAAATTTTGGTCAGATTTTATTATAAAATTTTAATACAAACTGTTAAAATAAAACAAAAATAAAATCAACTTTTGACACTTTGGCCGATTAATGTCCAGTCTTCACTGTTATATGAATAATTATTTCACTTCCTATACTGCAGGCCGAGTAATGCCACAGTTTACATAAATTAGGTTTTGGAAGCAGAAAGATATAAAAAAAAACATTATTAGTTTTCCACACTCTATATTGATTAAGTCGCCTCACCCATAAGTAATCAAAACATAATCAAAAGTAATATTTGGCGTTAGCTAAAAGTAGCGTTAGTTAGACGGGTTCTGACCTGTTCGGAGTGATGTCCATTGAGCGATAGGTACTTGGCTGGAGACGTGAGTGTACAGGATACTCTAACCCGTTACCCAAACTACAAAAAGTTATAAAAAATTATGATGACGTATCCTTAGTATCTACACAAGATAATAAAAATGATTTTTTTATTAATATGAAAAATGGTTAGGGTTACGGAATTTTTGTTTGATTTGTTATTCATTTTAAACTCTACTGTTATCTTTGCACCAAAATTATATTTTCCATAATTATACAATGTATACATATACTTTTGTACTTCTGCCATACTTTTTATGTGGTCAAAGCTGATTGGACATATTAATGTTTTGTTTTAATTAAAAAATGGTCAAATCTCAATTTTTTCGTTTATCAGCAAAAAGTGAAGCTGAAGCAAATTTGAGAGCCATAAACACAAATATAAATCATACAAAAATCTTCAAAATAGCGTATTTTAAATGTTTCTATCAAATGTTAATGACTTTTGTACAAATGAGTTTAGAACCTTTATATTACACATATTACTGCAGCTACATATTATTGCAGTGCTTAAAACATGATCAAAATTGAAAAGCTACTGGTCTAATAGTTTAAAAGTTATTTTACTTGATTATCCCAAATTAAATGTTTTTGCCACAATGTAAGTCAGAAAATGATGAAGTTACGTTGTTTCTGCGGATGGCTTATGAAAAATGAAGATTTATTCTATCAATATTATTAAAAAAATATGAAGAAAAACGATTTTAAATATTGCAAAAATATGTCGATTTTCTGCTCATAAACAAGTAGACTAACGTGTTGGCCACACAAAAATTGTTTTTTTTTATATTTGGAAAGCTTGAAAAATCATTAAAATATGAATTTAGGAAGAGGTAAAAATATTTTAGAGCTGTAGTTACATAACCAACCGTCTGAAATCATGGAGACTGTTAAGTAGAAAATAGGGATTATATACTTTGTGACAATTTTTTTTAAATCTATTTATTTTACTAAAATAAACACATACAGTGAACGGCTAAATTATGGAATATTATAATTATTTCGAGAACCATCGAGTTTTGTTATTAAATACCCACCTTATAACGTACATGGAGTAGGGATGACGTCACCGGTGTAGGTGTAGTGACGTAATCGTTAATTTTTTTTTTAATAGAAATCGGTATAATGCGACAACTCATTTAAACGAGAATTTAATTCTCTATTTAACGTCATTACATTTTTAAATAAAATATTTTTTTAAGGGTACAAAACAATTGTTTTTAATTTAAATTCAACTAAATTACAACTAATGATTTAATTAATAATGTACTTTAAAGTAACCAAATTGTGCATAACAATTATTTTAAATTAAATGTTCGAACTGCCATCCATCAGTTCCTGCCATGACTATCTGAAGTAAATACTTAAAAAAGCAAAAATAAGTAAAAATAATATGGGACACAAAAATTTATCTCATAAACACTGAAACTTAGTGTTTGAAAGTGTGAAATTGTTCTAGGACAACTTCTTTTTTTAAATTGTAGAAAAATGCAAGCTTTCCAAATATGTAACAATAATTTTCCTGCAGGTAATAGATTTATTGTAATTTTTGATAAGAAAAAAAAATGGATATGTTTTTGCAAAATCACTGCAAAATCGTTCTTCTTCATTTTATATAAAATTTGTATAAAACACCGAAATTTCTGACTTATTTTGCAACTTTCTAGGCTACAAATAAGAATAGAAACATTTATAAAACTCCACTTTGGAGATTTTTATATGGTTTATATCTTTATTTAAATTTATTTGAAATGCCTCACTTTTTGTTGATAGACGAAAAAAGTGAAAATTTACCGTTTTTTGATCTTAATTTGTTAATAACTACTTAAGTCAAAAAAATCGACTGCAGGAAATAGGTTCTTATTATAGAGGTCCATACTATTCAAAACAAGTGTCGTTTGCTTGATCGGGTGAGTGCCACGAAAAAATCTTATTTCTCTGGTCCATCTGGCAAATTTTGTTTTGTTTCTTGTATCACTAATCAATTTTATTTTTCATTTGATCTTCTAATATATTTAATAGTTTTCTGTGAGGGTATTATTCGTATGGTTGGTTTACCCCATCAAAATAAGGTTCCCATTTCTCCATTTTCCATTATATACCATTAACCTTTGCCTAATCCCTTTGCTTTTCCCTTACAGTTCTTCTTCATCCTCATTATTTGCATCTCGGGTCCTTTCAATTCCATCATGTGTAGAGTTGTTTTCCTATTTTTTTTGTTTAGCTTGGTGAAAGAGTATAATTCACTTAGACATAACGTTAATCCCTATGTTTTTTGTACATTTTCGATGTGAATCGTCCAAAAATTTATCCTTTTTGGATTTTGTACACAACCCGACAACATCACTATTAAACGTTCTATCACTTTGTACTCCATTTCGTTATTTTGAGATGTTGATACAAAACTTGATAGTTTTATAGTATACGCTGAGTCTTCTTTTTAACCACGCAATGGAGAATATTTTCCTTTATACTTTTACATAATACTTTTTGAAGTATTTTTCTATATTATTTCCGGGTTAGGATTACAAAGAAAATGTATTAATTCTATTCAGTTGCGCACGCAGTTTCCACCAGAGAATTACTATTGGTCTTACAACATTTCCTGACTCACTCATTTAGTGAAATCTGACATTACTGAAAACATTTAATGGTCTGCAGTGTGTTCTCATAGCAAGACAGAGTTAAAGTAGTTTTGGTATTAGTAAAAGAGTTGGAGTATTGTTTTTCTTCTAAGAGTCGTTTTCAGTACTTTATATTGAATTCAGCATAAAAGTAAAATAATTAATGTATTTAGGGGAGAGTAGTACACAATGAGACATGGTACACAATAAGACATTCTAATTTTTTTTTTAATTTACCGCCAAGTTTCAATTCTGCAACCAACATTATCTCAGAAATGTCATTTTACAGCGCCAATCAAAATACCACCATGTGACCTCGTAAAAGTTACAGTGATAAACTGTTTAATTAAGGTAAGAAGTTACTTTTTATATAGTTTTGTTGACTTACTATTAGAACTAATTGTTGATTTGTATCAATTTGCAAGTGTATGCGTGAAATACCACAGTTAAGTTAGTCTAACCTCAAATAGTCATGTCTCAAAATTAAAAATTAAATATGATTATTTGCATTTGTTTACAACAATGCTACTTGGTACACAATGAGACACCGGGTAATAGTACACAATGAGACTGTCCCATTGTGTACTACTAAAATTTGTACCAAGTGTTTATGCTATAATGATATGTTGTATAAGTAGAATGAAAGTTTATTATCTTTGTTACAGACATGGTGCGCAAACAAAAACCAAGGAGTCGAGCGACATTCAGCTACGATGATATGACAAGTGCCGTACAAGATGTCTTGGACGGAAAATCATTAAAATTGCTCCTGTTGAACACGGAGTAAAATTTCAGACATTACAAAGATGTGTCGCAAAAAAAACGTACTAATTCAGATGATGATCGAATGGAACCAATTACGCTGTACGACATGTGTTTACAGAGGAACAGGAAATTTCTCTGTGTGACTATATCAAAACTTGTAGCAAAATGAGCTACGGATTAACAACCATTTAAGCACGAAAGGTAGCATATGACATGGCAATTAAAACAATATGCTTGTTCCAACGAATTGGATCAAAGGTAAAAATAGCTGGACTCCAATGGTTCCGTTCATTTTTAAACAGGCGTGGGAACCTCAGTATACGTCAACCAGAGGGTTGCAGTTTATCAAGATTAACATCATTTAATCCACACAATGTCAACAAGTTCTTCGACAATTTACATGCCGTTTATTCTAGATATCCATTAGCTGTGTCTAATATCAGGATATATAACCTTGATGAGACTAGTACAACAACAGTGCAGAAACCTAAGAAAGTCGTGGCAGAGAAAGGTGTAAAACAGCTGAATAGTTGTACTAGCGGTGAAAGGGGTATTCTTATTACTACATGTGTAATTGTATGTGCGAATGGTACGTTTCTGCCTCCTGTTATTGTTTTTCCAAGGAAATATAAGGAGCATATGACACAAGGAGCTCCACCTGGCACACTGGGTTTGGCAAATCCAAGTGGATGGATGAATAACAAGCTGTTTGTTGACGTTATGAAACATTTCATTAAGTTTAGCAACAGTTCAATTGAAAACCCGTCCATACTGCTCTACGACAATCATGAGAGTCACGTAAAATATCAAGTTGTTCAACTGGCAAAGGATAATGGTGTAATCATACTGACTCTGCCTCCACATTGTAGTAACAAACTGCAACCCCTTGATGGTTCAATTTTCTCTCCCTTTAAAGCGTATTACAATGCTGCTATAGATTCATGGTTGCTGAACCATCCTGGTAAACCTATTTCAATATACCAGATAGCACAATGTGTAGGAGAGGCACATATGAAAGCATTAACACCTACTAATATTCTGTCAGGTTTTAATAAAACGGGAATTTTTCCCCTTAATAGAGACATTTTTTCTGAAGCTGACTTCATTGGCAGTTCTGTGACTGATAGACCAAATAAAACTGAACAGCCAAATCCACAACCAGAGTCGACAGAAATGTTTAGTGTGCTTTCCAATCAAGTTATATTATCCTCATCGAAGACACCTGAAAATCAAGAAGTATCCCCACCAAGGACACCTGAAACACCGATAATGTCTCCAAACTCTATGTCAATAGTATCATCTGCGAATTCAAGTTCTTTCATCTCCCCTCATGAGTTTAAAGGATTTCCAAAAGCAGAAAAGAGAAAAGGTGGAAAGGCAAGGAAAACTAAAAAGAGTGCAATTTTAACTAACACACCTGACTTGGATCAGTTAAAACTACAAGCAACAACCAAAAAAAATGACTCCTCAGAATAATAAACGAATTAGGGTCAATTTAAATAAGGTACCAAAGCAGAAAAAAAAAATAAACGAAGTGATAGCACTTCATCCGAGGAGGGTGAAGAACTAATAAATTACGATGATTCTTCTGGCGATGAATGTGAAAATTTACAGTTGGAAGACGATTATGACATTGATGCTAGTACAGAAA